AGCGTGGGGTCCTCCACGGGCTGCAGGTGGATATCTGCTCCACCGTGGACCTCCTTGGGCTGCAGGGGCACAGCCTGCCTCACCATGGTCTTCACCAGGGGCTGCAGGGGAATCTCTGCTCCGGTGCCTGGAGCACCTCCTCCCCCTCCTTCTTCACTGACCTTGGTGTTTGCAGAGTTGTTTCTTTTACATGTTCTCACTCCTCTCGCCGGCTGCCATTTTCCGTCTGTCCCAACTTTCTTTCCCTTCTTAAAAATGCTGTCACAGAGGTGTTGCCACTATCACTGATGGGCTTGGCCTTGGCCAGCGGCGGGTCCGTCTTAGAGCCTGCTGGTGTTGGCTCTCTCGAACACAGGGGAAGCTTCCACAGCTTCTTGCAGAAGCCACTCCTGTAACCCCCCCGCTACAAAAACCTTGCCACACAAAGCCAATACATTTCTGAAGCTCATTCTCCTAAAATTAGGAATTTGTCTTGCTGAGCAGTCCTCACTTTGATCAAGCGTCATAAGATGACCCCATGTTGCCTCATTGATTTGGACACTTGCTACTGTGCTGGGAAATAGTACTGCTAACCTGCATTCCAGCAAATTACCAAATGGAAGCTCATTCATAAGAAGTGAGACACTGTCAGCAGGAGAAAATGAGAGCATCTGTCCATCCACATGATACTTTAATGTGCACTCAGGATTTAAAGCATCATATTTGAATGCTGTTTCTTATACATAGATTACATTTTGATGACCAAAATAATCCTGCTGCAGTGAAGAGCCACGTGGAAGTTGAAAATTTGGAAGGACCTCAGACTGGGAGAGATGAGCAGATTGTTCCTATACAAGGAAGAGTACATATCGCTACGTCTTCTGTACGGAAGGAGAAGTCTCTCTCTTCGGTCGTCTTAGCTGTAGCAACAGGAATGCTTGGAAAAAGGTTTGTTTTGAGGCTTAATATGGAACATAATTTGCTAGTAAAATAACCCAGTCCTGAGTATTGGAGCAATGTTCTTTTACCTATAATGATGGTCTGGGAGAATATTTTGGGATAGTCCAACATTACTGAAAAATGCCACTTGAGATGGGCGTCGAATAGTTGTTTCAAAGTTTTGTGCTGTTAGGATTTAACAGTGCTGTTGCTTTTGTCTGCCAGTAAAATAGTATGTAGCTGTTGAGTAGTGTTTCACATTGAGGCTGACATGTTTTGATAGGTAGGTTGGAAGATTTAGGAAAACCTTATGTGATTCTGAAGTTAGCAGTGATCAAGCAGTCTTTTTCAGAGCTAATATGGAGCTGACTGGTATTTAACCAGGAAGATGACTATCCAGCATCTGAGAAATAATGAGGTATGAATATGAGGCCAAAGCAAGGAGAAGCAGGCCTTGTGCTATTTTTGGAAGCTAAAGGGCAATGAATTATGAACTTTGTAATAATTGTTCTGAGGAATGTCCTGTGGCGTGTTTAGGTATTCTGGAGTCACCACTAGATTTGCAAGATTGAAAGTCAATTTCCCCCCCCCAAATGATGTGAATACTTTGTCCCTCCTTTCTTTAGGTGTTCAGCCTCAATGTCACCGCCGTTACCTCTTCCTGTGAAAGATCAAGATATAGAAATAGAAAATGAATGTGAATTTTTAATTGATGAATCAGATGGTGTACCTTTTAATTCTTTTTCAATACCCCATAAGAACAAACAATCAAAAAAAGATAGCTTTGCAATTCCTGTTTCTAAATCTCAGTCATCTGAAAAGGAGAAGACAGAGAGTAAGAAAGGCAAGAACAGAAAAATACAGCTTGAAGCACTTACTACACAGAAAATGGATGATTTGGATGTCAGAGTACATGACTTCAAAGGAACATCAGGAACAGATCCAGTCTCTAACAGTGAAGGAAAGGTCCTTAAGTCTCAAAGGCAAAAGAGTACTCATATGGGTAAGTTATTTAATAGGTCTTCAGACTTCTCCTTCCAGGTCATATTACTGATTTTTTTTGTGGTGGTTTATTGGGAAATATGGATAATGTAGATGAGAGACATTAATGGATTCCTAATTGATGTTTCAGTTGCACAGTTAGGTTTGGGTGTATACAAGTCAGTGTGGGACAGTGTCTTCACTTCCCCCCCCCCCCCCCCCCCAGCCCTTCCTGTTAGGACATTAAAAATTAAGTTAGCAGTGTTGCCTTTTCTTATGAGCAGACAAAGAAGGTAGGTACCCACAAGCTTTTGCCCCTCTCTGTAGAAAGGAGGTTAAGGTATGTGCTTTGAACTGGAGGGAATCAGTTTTTAGGAATTATTTGAGAAGAGTTTTGTAGCAGGTAGCACTGAAAACTGGAAAGCAGATTGAATGTAACATTTCTGCCCTTTTTTTTTTCTGCTAGGAAATACTGGAAGTACACCAAAAATTCTGTTTTGAATTTTTTCGTATACTATAGATAGAGAAAGCCTTCTTTTAACCATCAGGGAAAAATCTGGTTTTGTGATACTTTTTTTTTTTTTCCCCTTGATTCCTTGATTTATTTTTATATGTTCAGATGTCAACATATATCTTCAGGTTTAATGAGAAAAGATATTAATGTCTAAGTGTTTTGTGTATTGATAGGAAAGACTAAAAAGCATGCACTTAGGCAAGGCTCTTCAAACCAGAAAAAGGACACGTCCGGGAAACCAGAAGGCAAAGAAATGGTGTTGTCATGGTCTAGATTGGAAACAGAAGCATCTGATGCAGAACAACATAAAACAAGGGTGATGCCAAGTGATGATTTGCCTATGCCTTCAGCTGGGCATCAGCAAGAGCAGACTCTGTCTCCAAAAAAGAATCTCAAGTCTTCCAAGTATGTACAGTCGGCTTCAAAAGCTTCTCAGCGATTAGTTCACAAGAAACAAACTGCTAAGCAGAAGCTTCCAGAAGTGTCTAAGAGACTGGCAGAAAGTCCGAGGAAGAAGCTTAAAAAATCTGGCAAGAAAAGTAGTAATAAAAAGCCTCAGTTACAAAGAGAAGGGAGTTCTGACAGTGAACCTGATGAAGAAGAGCTTGAACGAGAGCCCGTAAAATTGAATGAAGTGTTTACCTCGCCCCTGCATCAGAAATTACAGACTTCTGTGATTCACGAGTTGGCTAAGTTTGAAACGCCTGAAAAAGGATTGCACACATTGGAGTCACTTTATGATGCAAATAACAAAACTCCTGTAAAAGCACTACAGCATCTCATAGACAGTGTGAAGAATGCTGAAAAGAAACAATTGTCAGCTAAGTCTTCAGGGAAGATGCCCGAAAAGATGCATTACAGAGCCGGTAAAGGTGTTTGCTCAAACCCTGAGGACACTGAGTCTCAAATGGATTCTGACAGCTTTTCTGTACAGGACACAGCAAGAAAAAAACAGAAGTTATCAGATGTGAAAATAAAGAGTAACAAAAGAAAACGTAACATGCAACATGGACTACGGTAAGGTTTGTATGTTATTCCTTACAAGTGTGGTGTAACTTCGTAGATAATTAAACACATCTTGTTAACTTTTAAGCAGTAATGGCCTAATTGAACTATGTGACAGTTTCAGACTCGTTGAATAGCTAATAGAGAAACCAAGTGGTGTAATCAACATCCTGTTCTCAAAGGTGCATGCCAAGTCTAGTGTCTGGTTGTACATAAGGAAACTTGCGCTGGAATTTTTAAAGTCTTCTTTTGAGACTTGTGTAGCAGATCCAGTTTAAAAACAAAAAAAAAGAAGAAAAAAAAAGTCACATATGAGCACACAACCCCACCACCCATAGAATAACTTCACTGTCAGGTTTGTTGCTTTGTTTATAAATTGAGAAAATACAGTGTTTAATTCTTAAGCTATATTTATTTTTGTGGAAGTAACTTTACTAATGATTGGTAATCAAAAGAGGAAGTTTCTTTAACCAGTCTAATTGAGTTTTTAATCGCTGTTCCTTGCATTGCTTTTTAAAATTTTTTTTAAAAATGTCTTTTTTTTATGGTTCTGTTCGGTACATAAAATTATTGACCTACAGGTTCCTTTCAGTAAGTAAAATTGACAACAATAAATGTGATGGTAATTTTTTCTTTTCTAGAGAATACGTTGCAGCTGAGAAGGCTACAAGTTGTGAAAGGTAATTTCCTGAGTTGTCTGTAAAACTTGCATTTAATCCCACTTGTGCTCCACTGAGACAGAACAGCTCTTTGGTACTACTACTGTGTTCTGTCTTCTACTAGCAAAGAACCTAATAGAAAAGGGATCGCAATTCATGCCTGAGGTGTTTAAATACCATGCTAACACATAATACAGTTAATAAACTAATAAAATTCTTCTTCCTGTCATGAATAAGGGGTCATAGTAAGTTTCTTGCCTTTGGGGATTTTTTTCCTTTGAGGCTTCCTTCCACAGTAGTGTGTGATTTTTGAACAGAAATACCAGTGGTACTAGAACTAGGAACAACTGTACTAATAAAGTTGCTGTTAAATAGGGTATAGAACTGTATCTACAATCCAAACTTTTGTTTGTGCACAATAGATATGCACACATCTTCTTCATGGGATGGGAACTTAATAACAAAGCACACAGGAGTGGCAGTCTGTGAATTGATTAAATTGTTATGTCGTAATTCTACTGAAAAGTTTTATAATGAGCCTACTGCTGAATTAATTGGACAAATTTATAGTGTAGGTTTGCTAATCCAGCACTGAAATGCATCTTTTGGAGTTCAGGTGGATCACAGCTGAACTTCATTGGCACAGTAAAAGCAGTGAAGCACAGCGACAGATGGGTGAAGGAGGAAAGGTTAGGGGTACTAATGCTAAGGCTGTACGAGAAGTCTTGTTATAAGTGATTTGATTGCTAGAGAATCTCTGGTAGAGTTACATACATGTTAATTAATGTCATTTTATGACAGAATACGTATTATAAATTACAATTACAAACTATTTTACTGTCCTTTCCTTACAGTATGCAAAACATTTCTTTAAAGTACTTCTATAATCATGGTCTATGGAAAATTGTTTGAAAGGTAATGCTACAAAGGAGAGGAGAAGGTCTCTTTCTTCTGGAAGGGAGAAAAAAGAAAAAGAAGTCACAAGATTTTTTAGCAAACCTGTTTAGAGAGAAGGTGTGAACACTAGTTTGTCTGCCTGATGACCAAGTAGAGGAGCAATTGATGAATTTCAGACCTATGGTTCCTAACTAGCAGTTATTTGCTTCAGTGTCTAATTGGTACAGACAGATGTTTAGAAGGAAAAAACCCCACCCCACATGATCTGAAAAACACCTTAAATTTACTATTCTTGGTGGTGTTGTAATGTTCCTTTGACATTTAACGTATTCAAGCAGGTGTATTTTTTTTTTCCTTTGAAGTGGGCCTGCTCTAGAACATGGTGATAAATCTGCTTCCAGAATTAAGTCTTGGGAACAGGATACTACATCTTCAGGTAATGTTTAAAGTTGCTGTTTTCTTGCATTTTATGTATAAGCTTCTTATAAGCTGTAATTGATGGTACAGTAATTTCTGTTGTATTCTGCTTGTCCAGAATAAGAAATGCAGATTATATTGGCTGTAGTCACTTTTCTGCCCAAGTAGGTGATACACTATGCCAGCTGTACATTGTGTTAGCTTTGGAAGGACAAGCACTATATTGTTTGGCATCAAGCCTACCAGGATAAAGTTACCCTTCCAAAATACTTTGAACAAATTTTTTAGCCTCGGTTTGTACCAGTCTGATGTGTTGCCATGTGATGGTACTATATATGATCACTTCAGGCCACCCTAGACCAAATTGTGCAGCCTTATGGAATTGTGGCCTGTTTGCCTAAAAATATTTTGGTTTCAAGTTTCCCTACACAAGTTGCACATATTGTCATAATGAATATGAGCCCTGGGGATAGATGGTCTTTTCGTTAGTGTTTTAGAGCCAGTTGTGAATGTTATTAGTTCATGCAATGCTTTCTTCAGAGACCTAAGTTTTGTGGGTGTTCTGGTAAGAAGTTTGTTCTAAAGTTGAGCTTGGGTGGTATAAAGCTGAATGACCTTGCACTTTGATCAATAAAATTATATGTATAGTTATGTTTACTTGAATGTATAGCTTTCCTGAAATTTTCAAGCTTACACTGTTTAAAAACTAACTACATATACTGTTTTTCTACATTGGGTTTCATATATGTTTAAAGGAAGAAATGTTAGTGGGAACAGTAATATTGGGACTTCTGCTTGTATTACCTTTGATTGCTTCTAGTGGATATATTGAATAAAAGTCACAAATAGTAAATGCCTATAGTGGTTGTTTTTTGAATGTATTTTCAGGTAATTCTGAAGACTTGAATTACCAAGTAAAAAATCTGTTGTCAGACAGCATAGCAAGGCATAAAATAGGTAAGATTATTTTAAAATATATTAATGTAAAGTGCACAAATGCAAATGTATTTCCAACTTGATGTAAACTTTGCTGAAGGAGATGCAGGAAAACACCTGGAAATGGGTTCATATGTTAATAAGTATTTACAGATAAGGCTTGTTAGTTCTTCAGGTATTACAACCATGCTCTAATTTTGAAGTTACTTTTAAAAACTTCTAGTGTTTCTTTTTTTATTACTATATCCAACAATAATATTTTTAACTGTCACATTTCCATTTTTCATTTACTATTGAGTCAAGACACTGCTTACAGTTCAGTGAAAACAGTAAGAATTTGAATTAGTTTTGCACAGTGCAACTGAGGGTGCAAATAACCTGCCTTCTGTGGTAGTCTGAGTCTGGATAGGATGGAACAATGGGCACACAGCCGATTGTAGTCCTATACTAGTCTGTTTTTATTGTTCTTTATTCCCTTGATTATTAGTTTATGCACAACACTATAGGTGTCTACCTTCGAAAACTATTTCAGCAAGTTTTTTCTTATTTACCATTTTTATTTTTGGCATTTAAATGTTCTTGACTAATTTGCTCTCAAGTCTTAAGGGGCTTTTATTCTTTCTTACAAACAGTAAACCATCGAATCTTATTATATTCATATATGGCAGCTTAGAAAAATTGAAAGTTGAGACTATGTAATAGGTAAGTCTGAAGATAAATATCTGAGAAGTTTTGGAAATGTGTGGGGTTTCTGCTGGCAAAAGTGCTGCTCTTCTTGAGCTTGGAGATAGGACTTAAGAATGTGCAAGAGAAGGGGCTGCTTATGCAGTCTCTGTTACTTTTCTCTTGCCATAACCAAGGCAGTGCCTTTTCACTGTTGCTAATGAAATCTCTCAGATTTAGACAGGGTTCTTAGTCTTTGTTGAGAGCTTAGTCTTCACACTTGTAGCATGTTTGCTGCTCCTTGTGCTTGAGTCCCTAATTTCCATATCTCAGTGATTCACTAAGATATATAGAATGAAATCTAATGTAAAGTCAGCATGGTGACTGTTTAAGAAAAAGGAGAGTGAAATACTGATGTATGCAAAAGAAAGCTTTTGGCCATACTTGATTCCTTTTTCCTGTCATGATAGCAATGTGATATAAATATCATCTGGGAACTGCTGATCCCCTGATACAGAACAACAGGAAAGCATTTTTAACGTTTGCCATTTCTGAATTTTCCTTTGATACTTAATGTGAATGGTTTCATCCTTTAAATCAGTAATGCCTTCCAACACACCTAATGTTCGTCGGACAAAAAGGATACGTCTAAGACCTCTGGAATATTGGCGAGGCGAGCGTGTAAACTATACGATGAGGCCTTCAGGTATTAGTTCCAAAATACCTATTTGCTTTCTCCTGATAGGGCAGTAAAGAGAAATCTGTGGGTTTGTCTTGTGCCATGAAAGCTTTGAGATGCTTACTATTTAGTAATTTTTTTTAAAAAGTAGATTATTTATGGTCTCCAGCTGTTTAGTCATCTTTCCGTGGAGTCTTTTTCTGTCCTGATACTCCTGTGTCAGTGAGGAATAGTATCAGCAGAGCATGTTAAGTACCCTTGCCTTAACTGTTGAGGGAAGAACAAAATTGTTTCTCTGTACTAGTAGGTTTATTACATCAAAGATTCTGTATGATATCAGAAAAAGAGACAATCTACTGGATCATTCATTGGAGCATTTCTCTTTGTCTGGAGATTGTTCTCCAGAGCAGATACTATATTATTTTATCCAGTCTCAGTGTTAAATTCCCTAAGTGATAGACTATATCTTGTTCTCAGGGACTTTTTTCTGACAATTCAGCATAATTTGGTCCTTTTCTAATTAGTCTGCTTGAAAATAGTATTTCTTTTGTCCCTAAAATTGATATTTTGTCTTAAAAATTGACTGTCATGTCAAGCCTTTCTGAAATGTTCTTTGACTGAAATATGGTCAAATTCTTTTTAAAAAGTCTCAGGTTGCCTTGCACACCAAAATACTTGATGTTGAAAAGCTTTTTGGTTTGTTCTGGCTTTCTGAAGCTATCTGAAAAATTCAGCATCAAGGAAATATATTCTCAGCTGAAATGCTTGTTGGTTGTGCAAGTCTGCATTCTTGTAAAATTATTATGAGTTAGTGAACTTTGTTTAAATTTCTTTTGTTTCAGGAACACTTGTGATTAGTGGAATAGTGTGTCCAGAAGCAGAACCTTACAGGAAGGTTGAACGGAGGAAGGGTGATCACAAAAAGAGAAGGGATGAAACAAGTATGAACACAGACTTTTTTTTTCTTTTGATACTTAAAAAAAATCTGTAGTCAAATACTCTATTTCTGTAAGATTTTTCTCCTGTAAAAAACTTGATTCTCTCTCTCGGGGTGAAAATAATGTTATAATGAAATGTGTTAATGTGATCTGATGTGGAAAAACCTGTTCTTATTTTCTCTATAACAATGCTGTATAATCTCATTGTAAAAACTAACTTCTCAGTGTTAGAAAGGAAGAGATACAGGACATATCCACAAGTCTTGTGGTGCCTTTAAAGCAGGGATTGAAGAAAATAAGCTGTACTTCTGTCCTTGTTCAGCTCATTGATTAATGATGCTAATGTGCTTAGTTTCATAATGCACAGTTAAGGTATAAAAACTTATGGTAATTTTACTGATGCCTGTTAGTATCACATCTGAAAAGGCAGCATAGGGTGTCAATATAGTTTTAAGCCATTGTAGGTTAAATACAAAAACATAACAAGGTAGGTGAAGAGAGAGCTTTAAGAACAGTGCATAAAATTGTTAGAAGTGGGCAATAAACCTGTGTTTAAACAAACAGGAACAGGATGCTTTGCTAGAGCCTCTGTGGCCAGTAGATAATAAATATGTAGGTAGTGCTCAGAAAAGAGAGATAGAGTCAAAGTCCAAAAGCCAAATTATTTTTGCTGTGCTCTCTGTGGAAGATATTTTGATCCTAAAGAACCTTTCTTTATAGGGACTGTCTAGAGATTTTGTTTGTGACTGAAACATTTCTGTGTGAAGTTATAGAACAAATAAAATAAATGCTAACAAACTTATGCTAAAGGAAAATGCCATATGGTACTGACACAGTTCTAAAACAAATCAGGGCTGAAATAATCATTAGAGCAATAAGGTAGAACACAGCCAGTGTTGGTACAAATTTCTGATTTTCTAGCGTATTGCATGTAAATTTTATTCCTTACCTCAAAAAGAAAGTAGTAGGACTAGAGAAGGTTCAGAGAAGGCTTGTCAAAAAAATGGAAGGACTTCTGTAGAAGCAGCAACTACATGGTGAAGGCTCCTCAGCCCTGAAGAGAGTACTACAGAGGTGTGAGAAAGACCTATAAAATCACTAGTGGTATGGAGAAGGGGAATGTAAATAAGTTGTGGTTGGTTTTGTTGTGGTTTTTTGTTTGTTTGTTTTTAAACAGAAGAACTAGAAGGTGTGGAAGGAAGATAGTGAGAGCTGGGTTTTTCAAAGGAAATAAGGTGGCACTTCTCACTACGTGCTTACTTCCCCAGAATACTGTGGATAAAAATATTTCTGTAGACTCAAGAACTAGATAAATTCATAGAAAACTTAACCGTTAATAGCTCTAAATAAAGTGTGTGAGCTCCATGTTAGAGGTGGAAAGTATTTCATGGAAGTGCCATTACACTTTTAAAGCATTTCTGGGGATGGAAGGGGTACTTACTTTTGGCCATTGATGGGAGACAGGATCCTGGTCTAGATCAACCTTTGATCTAAGTACAGTTTTAGTACATGTTTTAGTACAAATCGTTTGCAGTTCATGTAAACCTGGGCTGGTAGTGACTGTTCATACTGTATCTTACAAGAATTATTGGTTGCTTTAGGTGCATTTCAACTGTCTTCTGGAAGTGATGGATTCCCTCTTTAACAGACCTTCATCCTGAGAGATAATCTTTCTAGCATCCTTGAATTTTAAGTGATGCATATAAGGACCATCAGCTGAGTAGAATTTCTAGGACAAATTCCTAAATTTTATTGATATGATAAAAATTCTGTGGTTATAGCTATAGAGTTGCACCTGTTGCTGCTTCTTTTTATAGAGAGATGGTTATGTTAGAACAAAGCTATTTCAAACACAGTTACTTTCTTCCTACCCCAGACTGTCTTGGCGTAAGAGTATTTAAGCAGCCATGAGTGCCTATAAAGTGCTATAGCTTGCCTTTAACATACTTGTTCTGACTGCATTTAAATAAATTTCCTGTGCACTGTGGAGCTAAAATTGTCTGCTTAAGAGAGTTCTGCAAGAGAGCTTTGGGTTATTTATTCTGTCATGAACATTCTCCAGCATCTCTTTTCTATTTGAAAAGCGTAAGGTTGTCATCAACTCAGGCTATTTCCTTCTCTGGAAAAATCTTTTTTATTATCGAAATCGTTCTTTGATTTACAACTTACAGTGAGATTACTGTAATGGTATTTCTTGAGAAGAGGCAAATTGAACATGTACTTATTCTTTTGAACACTTTATCTTTTAAGTCTCCCGATGCCCATCAGCAGTAGGTAAAAGGAAAAAATTTGTTCTTCATACTTCATCATGTATTTTATTTCCTCTGAGTATCTGTTGCTAGAAAAGCACTTCTCTTAAAATGCAGATACTTCTGACTAAATACTGTCATTAATAGCATAGGATAAATAGTGGGCATTCCCCTGGAAAATTCTTTAGGATTTAGAGACCCTTTATCTATTACACACAGAAATAATTCCAATGAAAATTATATTTTCAAATAATTGCTATGGATGTTTTCCTTTTATTAAAGTGTATTCAGTCACTTAGTAAAACAAATTTAAGTACTTAATGTGTGAAATCTAAACTTGTGGAAAAGTTGTTAATTAAGTTTTTAAAATGTAGAGTGATTATTTTTCAGGTTTTGCTTTGGTTTTTTTTTTTGTCTCTTCAGGAACTGAGATACCTGCAAATTTGGTTGACACCCTAGCTGATACTTCTAAGCCAACCATTGTAGTGGACCCGGTAACAAATGGGGAAGTACTTCTAGGTGGGTTGAGGGGGTGTGACCAAGGGCCTTTCTGAATTATGTAGTAAGTGTTAGACCGATAAGAAAAAAAATTGGGCATGAAAAGGTGAGCTGTTGAAATATTCATTTTTCTTGTGGAGAAAGGAGACACAAAAAGTGTCCTGATTTTTCAGCTAAATATTGAGTCTAGCTCTTAGGGGTGTTGCAGTGAAACAATATGTAATGCATATGATTTAATAAGTAGGTTACTGAGCAAGTAACAAGACTAATCATGTGTTAGCATTAATGTTAATCTCCTGGACTTTTTTTGTAGAATGTGTTAACACTGAAAGCAGTAACTCATGCTTCTTCAAAGATGAATCAATAGAAATATATAAAAATTTGAATACATCTTATTTTGCCACTGGTAGATTGATTTTGAAACCATTTAAAGAAAAGGGACACCAGTTTGTCTACATGGATACAATAGTAAGTATGCTTTTTTCCTTATTTTTATAAAACAGACTATGTAAACAGAAAATCATAGAATGGTCAGAAGTAGCATACGAAGTTGACAGGTTTTTCAGAGTTTTTTCCAGCTATAATGCAAATAAATACAAGAAACATTAATGAATCATTTCAGTTGTGAAATCAGTTATAACCAAAGAAACTTGCTAGGGGTACTTGGAATGCACATTACCCAGCTTTGCTTCCCATTAAACCTGTGCATCCATGTACGCTTACTGCGTATCTTGCAGGCAAGGTAGAAGTATCAAATAAATAAAATTGCCCCCCCTCCGCCTTTTAAGTTGTGCATTTTATTTTTCAGCAGGGTGGGAAGAAGGGATTGCAGCTCTGCTAGCTTATTTGTTTCTTGATCTTTGTTACAACATGTATGCAAAACAAAGAGTATGTTTTCTTGGATAACTTAAATGTTTGCAAAGGAAACATTGCTAATCTTGGAACCCCTTGGCTTTCATTAAGGCTTTCCATGTTATCCGTGGCAAAATTATTGTTACCTTACATAAGACGTCATATTATCTGACTACAGGAGACTTCTTCTATGTACCAGCAGGTAAGTTCATGTGTTTAAAACCAATTTGTTGGAGATGGATGAGACTGAATTAGCATGCTAGGAAGCAAAACTGAGCTGAATGATGGGAGGAGTTAAGTTTGAGTAGAGAGTGAGAAAGTATAGGGTTATGAAGAAAGGAATGTCGCCCAACGCTGGATGGGGGTTGATGAGCTAACCTTTGAATGGGGTGATACAAACACTGCTTCCTTATGTGAGTTGGCCTCAAAGTTTTTGATGACATACCAAGTTCGTGAATTTCTCTTGGTATTCTGGTTCTGTCCCTAACTATAATGTTGGGGAAACTTCACAGACAGCTTAATATAGTGGTAGTTAGTATAATTGTTGTGGTCACCATCTGTTTGCTGGTTTTTCTACATAAAATTATGAAAATCCATGTGGATCTGGTCACCATATTTTACACTTCGTGCTTGATATTTAGAAGGTGCAGAATGTCTCGTTCAACAGGTTGTAACTTCATGTGGGTTGTTGAGAATTTAGACATCTCTGATTTTGCCCTTCTGAAATAAGTAGAATGAATTCCATATACGAAGCTGTCCTTCAGTGGGTAAGACAGTAGTCAGGAGAGTTTGTAGTAGTTGTAAAGCAGGCTGTTCATGAAGCCGTAGAGAGCTTTTGTACAGCTTTCTTGTGAAGAGTCTATATTAGAAAATGACAAGCTACCGCTTGTTTTTCCATTAACTTTTCACCATGATGCCCTGATTGAACAATCATTTTTCAATTAATGCTTTGAAGCTTTTTTTTTTGTGTTTGTTTTAATCTTGAAAGTTTAGGGGTCTGCAGAGACCATTTTGTAGTTTGCTTTTTGGGAAAGCAGATTATACAATGTGCTGAAAGTTCTGTATGGCCATAAGGATCTATAGTTGCTTTTCATTCTTCATTGCTGCTTTATGGCCTGTCTCAATGCCTGGATGGGCAATGCAATGGTTGTGGCAGGTGACCTCTTTGTAATTCATCAAGTGTGGCTGTATATGAACATTAGGACGTTGCTCATTCCCAACATTCAGTGCCTTTTAGATGTTTCTATATTTGTGGTCACGTTAGTATGCAAATCCCAAGTGAAGATCTGCAGATAAGATTCCATGTGAAGTTTTTACTGAGATTTTCTGTAGCAATAAATTAAAATAAATTCAGTCACCTTAAAGTTGTATTGTGGGTTTTGAGAGCTGAGAGCTCAAGCCTGTTACATTCTTTTCAGTAAAAATCTTCTCGGCAAAGATGCACTTTATTCTTTTACCCTAGGTTAAAATAATGACACTAAATGTATTCCTTGTTATCTCTTTGAAATGCAATGATGTACCTGTAAGGGTGGCATCCCAGATTAGGGGCTAATATTCCTTCTGTTAAAGTATTTGAAATAAAAACACACTTGGCTGAAGATAGGACTTCAAAAATTGCTATTAGCTTCTAAAGAAAACCTTCTCTGTTTTTATTTGTAGGAAATGGATATAACATACGTAACCTTCTGAACGAAGAAAGTGTTCTTGTCTTCACACAACTCAAAAAAGACAGTTTCTACAGAAAAGTTTGCTGAAACAGTTTTCAAGTTTTTGTATGTTTTGAAGTTCTTTTTACATACAGAAAGTGTTTGAGTGTGCCCAGCTCAACATTACAAATTAATACAGAGCAGCTGAAATCAATGTAAGAAGAGTTAAGAACAAAACCAAAAGAATCTCAGTATTTTGCTATCAAACTGAAAGGACATACTGAAGGGCCTCACTCTGCATCAGTTATTGTTCTTGTGTTGTCCAAAGACAGAAAGATAAAAGTGTAAAATCTGTGGGTAAAGCACATTGTTGTTCCAAATTGTATTTATATGCCTAATCTCCCTAAAGATGCTTAGCACTTGAAAGAATTTTGACATCTTCAGCTAACGTCTGAGAGTCTTAACGTCTGCCTGGTAAAAACTGCTTAGAATAATCTCTATTTAATGTAAGACTGTGCTGTTCACGTTCCAGTAATTGTTGTCTAGGAGATGGGCTGCTGGAATGCTTGTGTGCGGGGCTCCAGCCTTCTTCTAATATGTTAATGACAGGCATTTCTTCCTTGTCTAGTGGAGGTATGATTAGTGCCTCAAATTCGAATTGTGAAATGGGAGCTCTTAGTAGGAACTTATCGGTCCTATCTTTTGTATGGAAGCTATGGCTTGATTAGCTCTGAACATTGTGGATAGCTTTGTTTTGTGTAACAGGGATAGGTCATTGCCAAGTGTATTACTTTAGTATCTCCTTTTGTTTCTGTTGCAGTGTTCCTTGATAATAATGAGGAACTTTGGAAAAACTAATTATAATGTATGGTCCAGAAACCAAGTCTAGATAGCAGATGGTATACATAGCATTTGTCACCCAAGCTTTTCAAGGTTCCTTCTAAAGGATAAACTACAGCGATTCTGCTGGGTGCTTTCTCTCTATGGTCACTGCTGTTCTAGAAAATTGAATTGGAATTCTAAACTTTAAGGACTTGAGGATTGAGTATTGACTTTTTAAACAGTCTTGGGTACAACATCTTTATGCTATATCTAGAGTATACGTTAAAGTAGGAGGACAATTGGCTTTAGTGCTTCCCTTAAGCTTTCAGCTGCCAGCTAACTTCATATGTCTGTGAAAGGGCTTGGACACCAAGATTACCAGGCCTCTGTGAAAGACCCTTTAGATTGGAGAATTCGAGGTAATATATATTGTTTTTATCATTCTCCTTCAAGCAGTAGTTCCTATGATTAGTGCCTATTTAGACTGACAGTGGAAATACATAGTAGAAGTTTTTTGGCATCTTTGCATTCATGGCTAGGTCATGCTTAACTCTGAGAAGATGAAACAGAGGAACATGCTTATTGCCATTTAGTTTTTCTGTCTTGATACAAACTGTTTGCTGTCAAAGTTCAGACTGCACAGAAGGACGTTTTTAAAAATATTTTTATTAGCCTCAACTTTTGTAAGCAGTTTGAGTTAATAATAATAAAAGTAATTTAGTTACAGCTGATAATAATTTGATATTGGCAGCTTTTCTAAATTTTGGGCTTGGTTTGGTCTCTTCAAGGTCAGCAAGATTCAAATATTGTCCCTTCTGTGTTGGAGCCATACCAGCTACCAGATGGGCACACATGCTGTCTCCACTGCTTGAAGGGATCCCACCCACTAAAATGTTTAGTTTGTAAGTCTTTCAACTCCTTAGGCCTGCAGAGGTCTGGAAGTTTGCCACTTGGAAAACAGTACAGGGCTAGCATTAGACCAAAAAGCCTCTGCTCCTGGCCCAAGCATCTTGTCTCCCGGTGGTCAGGGCATGGATGTGGTGGTCTCTGAGCCCAACAGCTCATTAGTTCCAGCTGAAAGGCAGAACAAGACCACTTTTCAGTTGTGTTAAAGGCCAGGGAGTTCAGAAGGAAGACAACCCAGCAAATTTTCTTCTGCATTACCTGTCTGTAGATTGGGTAGCAGAAGGATACTTTGTTCAGGCGTTAGTGAACATGTATGGACAATGGAGCTCATGGCCCTAAAGGGAAGTATGGATGTATGTTGTGACGCAGCTCAAGGCAGCCTGCTGCTTTCCTGTGTTCTAGTTTGGTGGGCTCCAGTGAGAAGTGATACATTGCCCTTGTTGTATTGGGCACCAGTGTGTCTTCCCCCACTGCACTGTACTGCAACTTGGCAGCAAGATTGAGTGGATTTTCTTTTGGGTCATAAGTAGATGATGAGAAATACGTAATCAGGATGTTTTCTTAAGCAGAAGGAATGTGTGCAGACCTTTTCCTGACACAGGCTGGAAGGTAGCAGATGTTCAAGTGCAGGTTTGAGGTCAGCATGCCATGAATGCCTGTTTCTGTTTTCCTAATTCTGTGGCTGGGAGTGTTAACAGAATAGGGTGGATTTGGTAAAGTATGTAATTTTTTTAGGCTGGATGGTTTTGTTGCTTCCTGGCTAGTTGATTTCTTGGGAGAAATGTCCTGTATAGTCTGCAGAGGACATTTTGTAGTTGGACTACATGTTTTTAAATTTTTCGTTTAAGTAGCAAAATCAATTGTGCCAAGCTTGGTTATTTATCTAGGATTTTGCTTTAGTTTAGCAACAATTCCACTATTTGTCACTAGATGGGGCTTCAAGCACAGGTGTTTGTCGTTGGCTGGCATCTATGTTCGGTAGGGTTTGGTTTTTGAAAGGAGAGGAGTATGTTACAGATGGAGATAAATACAGCTGAATTCTGTTGCAAGGAGATGTAAATCAGTTTCTGTTAACGTTAGGACTTGGCACTGAAACATGCTAACAGAATGAACTTAGCAAGCATGTTGTACTAGTTGCAGCCACTTGTTCAAAGTTGTTTTTTAAAACATTAGTGCACAGCAAGAGTTGAGTTGAGCTGGGTTGTTCACCGTTTGACTGGACTGCATTTTAAATTTTTTTTCTTCAACTTGACACTTGTAAAAAAACTTGCTTCTGTGTCATTAGCCTGAATATAGTGTGAGGAGGTGCAGGAGAATGTTGAGTTCCAGGACTCCTATGGGTGCTGAGTTGTGCAGTGTGGCAAACAAGAATTGGTCGTTAGTCAGAAGAAGCAGCTGATATTTGACCTCTACCTAGTCTTGCTTTGGCTCCTGTTTCCTACATTTATGTGTACATCAGGCTACTAGTAGTCATGGGTAACCTTTGGTGGTCTAATTTTTTCCTTTACCAAATGGGATACTGCAAAGAAAGAAAAAAGCCTTCTCTGAAATGTGAGAAGTTATCATTCTTCTTCCTGCATATGTGTGATTCTACTCTGTTGAGTAGTTTTAATTTCCACCGACTACTGTGATAGTTTCACATAGATATGTAGCAAAATTATTTAGACTTGGTAAAATGCTAAAGTAATAGCCCATATAGAGAATGTTGTGGTCTGCAGATGAAATAGATATTCTTAGAGTTTCTGTAATGTTATTTGCCTGTTGTAGCTTTTAAAACAGCTTTTAAATTATTTCATGGACTACAATGCCTTATATATTCAGCTCGGATGGCACAGCTTGTTGCTTACACTAGAGTACGGAACATCACCTCTAATAGTAGTAGTAGTAGAGATCTGAGCCTGGTTTGTGCTAAGCTGGGCCGAAGTTGGTTAGCCAGTGTTGCCTGCTGTGGAGCGGAGTTGGGATGGTCATTGTGAGAGAGACATGGCCTTTTCTGTTGCCTGTGTAGTACACATGCTGTTCCTGGAGGATATCACTGGTTTAGTATATTAATTCATTGCTTTCTGTCAACAGTAATGGAGACAACTGGAAACAAAAGCTGAGTCACATATTTCATCAGCTTCATGTTAGCAGGTACATGTGTTCTATGGTAGGTGTTGTGGTAACAATTAGAGGTTTATTTTAAGGAACTTAATTGACAATGTCCCACCACAATAAAAAGTCAGGTTTTTGAAGGCTTTGGCTCCCTTTGAAAAAAATTACTTTACTGGTTAGTAGGTTCTTTTGAAAATCTATCTTTTCATAGTTTCATTTGGTTAGAAAGCTGTTCCTGTTTTACTAAACAAAGCCTTTTTGCAGTTTAAAGCAGCAGCAGCATGGTTGCAAAACTGTCAGATATGTGTGCACATCCATATTCGTGCAAGTTTGTAAACATAAAATAAGAGAATGTGAGCTGTGTAATTACAGAAAAATAAACAGCACCAATAAAACAACTTGTTGAGGCACATATACAATTTCTTCTATTTTTCAAGTACACAGCTGAATTGGTTATCTGCAGATGATTTTAAATTAACATTTGGGGAATGCAATAAACCTAAAGAGCTATTTCCTCATTTCATAACAGCTGAAAAGACATTTCAGCATGAAGGAGTGTTTCTTAGATTTCTACTGATGTATAGACTCTGTTGCACAATGTCTCCTGTAATACAGGATTACTTTAAGTGGTGATTGATTGCAGATAATACATCTAACTGAAGAGTATGGAACATGCCTCTTTAATGATATTGACAGCTGTGGTAACTGAATATTTTAGTCTTTCCAAGCTGGTACGTTTCCTCTTCAGAATATCCTGTCACTTCATGCCTGATCACAAATGTAGTCAGAAGAGACCTCGAAGCCAAACGTTTCTCAGGTTGCATGGAAAAGCTTCATTTAGGATTTGACAACCAAAGTGATTCCTGTGGTCCAAGTTCTATGATGAAAACAGTAGTTGATCATCAGTCAAAACAGTTGGCTGCAGATTATTAGGGAACAAATACGTTAAAAAGAGTGCCTGCAGAGCTGCCCTGTGTTCTTAAGCCCACCCACAAAGCTCCTGTTCTGGTTTGCTTCATTTAAACTCCTGTGCCCAAGTAAAGGCGCACAGAAAGGGTTGTAAAACCACATTTACTTTACACTTCTTCTGTGGTCTTTTCTTGTTTGTAGCACAAGAAGGGCAATAATTGAAACAGGGAGCAGAAAGAAGCAAAGCATTTACTTTCTCAGTCTGACTGTTCAGTTGAGATGCAAATCTAAAAGTGCTCATAGAAAAACATATTAATGTCCTGAGTAAGATTTTCAACTTCTCTTTGGAGCTTGATAGGTAAGGACTTTTAAATTTGAAAACTGAAGAATTGCAGTACTATTGACAACTATTTAGGAAGTTTATTAAATGGGTATAATAGCTGTTAACACACATTATTTTATTTATCTTATTACATTTTTTTGTGGTCATGGTGCTAGAAGTTGCCGTTTCTTGTGTTTTCAGTAACAGTTGCTGAAATGAGAATTAAGATGGCAGATGCATGGTAATGCCATGTGGGTGTCTTCTGGAATCAATGTGCTGTAAAGAGGGAGAGAAAAGGAGTGATACGAGAGGTGTAAACGTAATGAAGAGCTATAGTAGTGTCCAAAGGTGGTGCAGACTGGCTTGACTAGGTTGTACAAAGGGTTTTCAATGTAATTCAATAACTTTTGGAGGAGCAGTATGTGACCCTTCCGATTGGTAAGGGAAACCTTTCCAGTGTTGGTGCCATGAGAACACAGCTGTCTGTACTGGTAACCTACACTCTTGTTTTGGGATTCTAGTAGTGCTATGATCACTTGTGTTTAAGAGCATAAAGTCATCTTATCTAAAACTGCGGGATTCAGCTGATGAACATGATGTATAATCCACTGAGCAAGAGGCCTGAACTTACTGAATTTTATCCTTTCTTTATGTTATCATCACTTTTGTGTTGTAGTACAGAGGGGGAAATTACAAGAAATGAAAGTTAATTATGAAGAAGTTTTTTTCAAACACAATCTGAACTTGAAATTTTATTGCTGACAAAGAGGGGGCTCCCCTAGGACACAGTAGCCTATACGCTGAAGAAACTAAGGACTTCTATATTTCAGTTAGTGCCGAGTCAGCTCTGAGGCTAATTAATCAAAACAAATTTACAATTAAGTTCAGGCAGGAAGACTAATTAAGTAGCCAGTTAAGAAAAAGTGCTGAAGGAGGGAGCAACCTTAAGGGGAAAGTATGAGACTCCCAGTATTGGCCCATGAAGGACAATTAAGTGATAATTGCAGATCTCTCTGACTTTTTTTTTATGGCAGATTTTCTTCATATTAGCAAAAGCAGACATTTGCCTGTTAAGCAACTCAGCTTTACTGTGCACTCTTACGGTAATTCATAGGTAAAGCACAGAGGTTGCTGCAGGAATAAATTGGAACACAGCTGCCAGACTTGGAACAGTATTTTAGCTAGTGAAAAAGCCCCACTGTGTTTTAAAGACAAAGTAACTCTAAATGTTTGCTTTATTTGCTTCTTCATTTTGTGGCATACCAAGTCCATCTTAGCATCCTGTTTAACCTTTCAAACAAATTGCATTGAGTGAATTATCTTACCAGAATTTAGAATAGCTTCACTTTGTTCAGTTGCTAACCCTATTTAAGTTCACAGAAATCATTACCTTGTTATGAAATGGCTTCTGTTGCTTACATCCTGCACCCATGCTGCATGACATACTTGTGTTTCTTGATGGAAAAAAGAGAGGGGGAACTCTAATAGTAATATTGTTTTTACTGAAAATAATTTAGCTCCTCTTCTGAAGGACTTTTTAAGCTTGGAGAGCTCATCTCCGGTGAGATGCTAAGGGTTGCAAATGAGGTGCATGCCCCAGTCCTCCTGCACCCCTCCTTGCTCATTTCCATGGAACTGTGATGCTGATGAAGTATGAAACCTGTCTTAATTAGTTGGACACATGCATGGGCTAAGAATTTGCTTAAACATCCATCTTTTCTTTTTTTTTTTTTTTTAATTTTTTTTGTGCACTTACCTGGAACTTGAATTATTTCAGAAATGGCAAAGAAGGGGTCTCCTCATGTATTAAGGTGTTGGTAGTAATTTTCTTTTCTTCATGAAATTCTGTGTGCACATGCTGCCAGTGTGATGCGCTGTGTCCTGCTATGCACATTGGCATTCACCTGCCACTGTTTCAGCTAGCTGCTGTATCAAGTTTCAATCTGCTCCTTCATTTTTTGTCTTGCTGCCTAAACTAATTTGTTGTCTTTTCTGGATGCATTTCCCTTACCAAAGGTTTCTTTTTTGTGCTGCTTGCAAGGATTGTACCATTTTTTTCTAACTCAGTTGCAGGTATTTGAATTATTTCAGAGGTGTTCTTGTGCCCGAAGTTTCCTTTGCTACCTCTCCTTCAAGCTTTATACAGGGCCTGGCAAAGCTCCCAATATTCTCGCTCAGAGAAGTGACACAAAGGTTCCTTTGGCCCCCGTTCTTTGAAAGACTTTTGTGTAGTTGTAATCCCAAGAAGGTCGGCTTAGGATGTCACTGGCAAGGCATTTGTTACCATCGTCATCTGCCGTTTTCCACACTGCAGAAGCAGAACTGAGACTGCTGCAGGCCCGCATGGTTGCCCTTGAGCCTCATCCATCTGTTGAGGCTGGCTCTGTAGTGCCAAAAGGATCCAACCCGGCACGATTCCTCCTGGCCAGACTTATCCCAGAGCATTGTAGCATTGTGCTTCTTGCTCCTCTTGTAGCAGTAATTCAGCATGCTGGTGACTTCCTTTGCCTTGGCGCAATCTTGCTGTGGCTCTGCCATCACTTAGGCACCATGCCATACCCTGATTTTGTGTTGGCAGGCTAGTCCAGGCATTTACCTGCTCTTACATCTTCATTCCTCTTGCCAGTGGGAATGCCATTTGACACCAGCTGGTTTTGGCACAGAGGTCTAGCATGGTAGTGTGTGCCCATTGCTGCAGATACGGATGGGGATGCTTATGCCCTCTCACACCCTGTTGCTGCCTGACTTTTCTGGTAAATGCCAGGAGAATAATCTCCCTGTTTTCTGATGTTTCTGTGGTGTGTAAGGATGAGCCTGGACTGAATAAGCTGGAAGAGCTGGGTGGCCCTTCAGGATGACCTTCATACATTTCTCTTCAAGACAGAGCTGAGACCTGATCCAGCTCATTTGACATACCCTTCCATGTGGCACGGCTCTGTCCACACAGTTCAGAACCTGCCATCTCCATTCTACCCTACTTACTGCCTGTGGGTGGGAGTGTGTATTGGCAAAGTACATTAGAGCGTTTGTGTACACTCTTGGTATCCTCATTCTTATCACCAATTCAGCTTTTCTGAATCCAGGGCAACTGGCTCTAGGTGGTCCTGCTTGAGCAGGAGGTTTGGACCAAATGACTTTCAGAGGTCCCTTCCAACCTCAACCATTCTGTGGAATCAGACTCCCATGCTATGGAAGCTGCTCTCCTATAAATTTAGTTCATGCTTGTGTTGGGAGGACCCTTCTGCTGTACATCTCAAGTGGAGGGCCTTTTCTGTGTCACACAGCAGGCTATGAATATGCCAACTGTGGCAGAGTGTGGGGTGTGCCAGAGTGCTTGGCCGCTGGTGAACAGCCAGTGTTTTCCCTTTCTCTACAGTGAAAGATAAAATGTGCATACTAAGTTGTGTTACAACTGTCAGCTTTAAGTTTCCCCTTCTGGTCTTTGCTCTGAGGTGTTCCTCTGAGGAAGGCACATACCTGGGTTTGATGAGAAGTCCACTGATCAATTTTGGGGAATTAGCTAACAATTTTCTGCATATGTACCCCAAAACATTTTAGTATAAGATATTTTGATAGTAGGCTGTTATTTTTTCACTTGCAAGTCTTAACAGCAGTCTTCATTCAGTGTGTGGGCTTTAAACCAGCTTGAAAATTTGGCATCTTGTGCAGTCCAGGCTATCAAGTGGCTGCTTTTTCCATGTAACTCTACATCTGGAGTAATAGTCCTCCGCTGTCACTTGATGTGGTGAGTTGCATCAGATGTTATTCCCTCAGTTGGCAACAGTTTTAATTCTTGGACTTTTCCCTACTGTCAGCAGCTTTGTGTTGCCTTTGGGACTGTAAATCATAGCTTGTGGACCATTTGTCTAAATGTGAGCTTAAGCGAATTAAAATACACACAAGATTTTTATAAAAATAGAATGAAACTCACACACACATTAACTACTGGTGTCTCATGGTCCTCCACAACATAAAACATTTCATATGAGAGATAGCGTAAGAAAATACGTGCAGAACAAGTGTCAGTGTAACAGCCAGGTGTGACTTTGATGACTCCAAACTTTGCACAGAGGAACGCATTTGTTAGAGACCACTGTTAGCTAAATTAAATTAGACTAATGTGCTCTTTTGAGCATAATCGAAATGATACTAATATTTGTATTGATTTGCCACTGGTGTAGGTGAATGCTCTGATGTCCTTGCTGCTGTGAGTACAATTTGCAGTTGTTCCACTTTACTGTCTAGTAACTCCCTAATATTGTGGCACAGTCAGATAGACCTTTTTTAAACTGTGTTAATTTGAACTGACTTCTATTCTTCCTATTATTTAGACCAAAAGCAAGAAGCACGTTGTTGGAGACGATAACTTTGGCCATAACTTTGCCTGCAAATTGAAGATCATCTAATACAAACGAGTTCTAAAGAACATTACGTACCATCCAACTAGAAATACACCCCAGTATTAGGGGCACGTTTCATTGACCTTAAAAGATCTTCCTACAGTGTAAATTGTAAATACACGGTTTGTTACAAATTATTTTTTCTGTACATAAATATTAAATAATGCAAATCAGGTTTGATTTCTTTGATTTCTAAATAATTTAAGAATTAATTTTCTAGTAGTCTGTGTGGTTTTGAAAATACAGGTAATTGCATGACTTTGACTTGTAAATATTTATAAATAATGTGAGTTACCTTGAGTGGCTTCAAGGATGTCACCAACAGTGAAATCTTTCAACTGTTCTGTTGGAGTTGTTGAAATTGTTAAAAGGAGTTTGAAAGTAAAATATTTTTCATAGAATAGAATCATAGAATCATTTAGGTTGGAAAAGACACTTAAGATCATCAAGTCCAAACAGAAACCTAACACTGCCAAGTCCAACACTAAACCATGTCCCTAAGTGCCATATCTATATCTCTTTTAAACACCTCCAGGGCTGGTCACTCAACCACTTCCCTGGGCAGCCTGTTCCAATGCCTGACAACCTTCTCAGTAAAGAATTTTTTCCTAATATCCAATCTAAACCTCCCCTGGTGCAACTTGAGGCCATTTCTTCTTGTCCTATTGCTTGTTACTTGGGAGAAGAGACAGACACCCAACCTCCTTTCAGGTAGTTGTAGAGAGCAATAAGGTCTCCCCTCAGCCTCCTTTTCTCCAGGCTAAACCACCCCCGTTCCCTCAGCCGCTCCTCATAGGACTTGTGCTCCAGATCCTTCACCGGTTTCGTTGCCCTTGTCTGGACATGCTCCAGCACCTCAATGTCTTTCCTGTAGTGAGGGGCCCAAAACTGAACACGGTACTCGAGGTGCGGCCTCACCAGTGCCAAGTACGGGGGAACAATCACCTCCCTGCTCCTGCTGGCCACACCATTTCTGATACAGGCCAGGATGCCATTGGCCTTCTTGGCCACCTGGGCACACTGCTGGCTCATATTCAGCCGGCTGTCAACCAGCACCCCCAGGTCCTTTTCTGCCAGGCAGCTTTCCAGGCACTCTTCCTCAGGCCTGTAGCATTGCATGGGGTTGTTGTGACCCAAGTGCAGGATGTGGCACTGAGCCTTTTTGAATCTCAGATGCCAATACAGATTGGCTTTGAAAAAACACTGTTCCTAGTTGACAGTGGCTTTGGTTCCAGTTTTTGAATCCCTGCTGTTCCTGCCATAGTTATACATAAACTCTGGGTTGAAATGTTGCAGAATTCTTTTGGTTTTCAGGTAAATCATAAGCAGAGCTACATTCTGCTGCAGTGTTGCGATCATTCAGTGGTCTTCAGATTTGGTATGTGATGACTTACACTCTCTTCCACATTCTCTGAAATTTTGAAGGTATTTCCATTTAGCTGGAGAGGGTGCTTCCTGAGAGTTCCCTGTTACAGCAGATCTTGGATAGTCATCAGAGTGAAATAAAATGAAAGCACCTCCCATCCCTTTGGGAAAATACGGTCCATTAGTTTTTCATTTGCCAGGAGCATCAGTTTTTAATATTTTCGCTTTTCCTTTATCTCCTGGGAATATCAATCTGCATAGATCTATTATTAATTCCACATTAGTGGAATTATTAGTGATTGAGAAGTTTGTTTTCTAGGGCTCCAGTTAGGGGGAAGAGGGCTAGAAGGATGAGGAAGTAGGTGAGGGAGGCCAGTTGGCCAGTGATGATGAAGGGATGCTCTACTGGTTGGCTACAAATTCATGTGAGAATGAAGAGGTTAGCAACTAGGGTTCAGAATAGTAGTTGGGAGAGGGGCCGGAAGGTTATTGTGCGTTGTTTGGACTTGTGAAGAAAGGGGATTAGGAATAAAATTAGTACGGAGGCAGCTAGGGCTAGTACTCCTCCTAGTTTGTCACAGCAACGAGCTCATTTTCTCAAAAATCTTTACTGTGGGTAGTAAAAGTAGGTCTCCCTAGGAATGATTTCAAATCCAAATTGGACTCAAGTATACTATGCATAGTGCTGGGTTGTTGTTGGGTTTCTTTTTGGTGGTGGTGGTGGTGGTGGTTGGCTGGTTGGTTGGTTGTTTTTTTTAAAGGATCTTTGCCTCATCTGAACTCACTGTTTTTGTGATAAGCTAAGTGTTATAGAGTTGTCCAGCATTTAAAACTTGGGAGCCTGGATCAGTATTAAAACAATTCTGCAACCAAAACAATTTTTGGAGGTGAGAGGGTGAGGAAAAAATCTTCCCCTGAAGGACAGTGTACTATGCTATGAATGATAGTGTATTAAGTTATTTAAATGTTGCAGAGAAGCGAGTGTCGTGGTTTAACCTCAGCCAGCAACTAAGCACCATGCAGCTGCTCGCTCACTTCCCCCCCACCCAGTGGGAAGGGGGAATCAGGAAAAAAAGTAAAACTCATTGGTTGAGATAAGAACAGTTTAATAGAACAGAAAGGAAGAAAATAATAATCATAATAATAAAATGGCAATAATAATAATAATAAAAGGATTGGAATACACAAAACAAGTGATGCACAATGCAATTGCTCACCACTCGCCGACTGATGCACAGTTAGTTCCTGAGCAGCGATCCACTCCCCCAGGCCAACTCCCCCCAGTTTATATACTGGGCATGATGTCACATGGTATGGAATACCCCTTTGGCCAGTTTGGGTCAGGTGTCCTGGCTGTGTCCTGTGCCAACTTCTTGTGCCCCTCCAGCCTTCTTGCTGGCTGGGCATGAGAAGCTGAAAAAGCCTTGACCCAGTGTAAATACTACTTGGCAACAACTGAAAACATCAGTGTGTTATCAACATTCTTCTCATACAAAATCCAAAATACAGCACTATACCAGCTACTAGAAAAAAAAGTAACTTCATCCCAGCCGAAGCCAGGACAGGGAGCAAGAGGGGCTTTCCACTCCTGGAAGGTTCTGTAAGCTCCATTTATAACATTCATTCCCATCAACCTTGCCCAAGCTTTCAACCTGCAGTTCTCCTGTTTCTTGAAGCCCTATCTCAATTCCAGTAAGTATTTACCATTAAATAAAGCAGCAGAGAATCCGGCTCTACCACTCAGCCGTCTGCTGCCTCTTCGGTGTGCGTGGGCGAGTGGGCGCACGTCCACAGCACTTGTGCCCCTGGGCTGTGCAAAGTGGGAAGGGGAGGGTAGCGCTGCAAGAATGTGGAGGGCCCCAAACTGATGCAGCTTGAGCGCTGCTCTGTTCTGGTCAGCTGCTGCGTAGGTTGCTTTGTAGGATCCCTCGAGCAGGATGAGGATCTGGGGATTCTCTTTCCTCATCCTGACTCTTCAGACAGGGTCGTGCTCTCTTGTGCTCGCGGTCTGACACGAGGAATTGTTACTGCTTTTCTTCGCTGCAGTGTTTTGGAGGTGCTTTCATCCAGAACAGTCCATCACAGTTAATTGGGTCAAATCAGTGCATTGGACAGAGCAATAACCATATATATCATGTACTGCATTTTGATAAGCAGGAAGATTGTTAATACATCTTTTTCTTTTACCTGCCTTAACCTGGAAGAATCAGAACGTGTGCCCTTCCTGTGCCAATTAGACTCAGTTGTAACTTCACAGGAGGACAGTTCCAGTAAAATCTGTACAGTGACCCAATATTAAGTTTAAGGAAGCAAGGAGCTGCTTTGTCTTGTATCTTTGTGTTGGTTCTTTTTTGGGGGGGCGGGTGGTGGGGTGGTGTGTGTTTGGTTTTTTTCAGTTCCTCCCGTGATCATAGATGTACTGTTTCAAGTTTGTAATGTCACTGGAAGGTCGAAAAAATTTCAGGAGTTGGAAGAAGTGATAAACAGGTAAGGTGCACAATTCATAGGGGGCACAACAGAAGCTGAGGCTGAATTTCTCTTGCATGTAAAAGAATTCAACTTAATTTTTTTTATCTTAGTGGATAAAAACCAAAGTACTGGTCTTAAAAATCACTCCCATCGGCTGGCTTTCTCTGCTGCACAGCAGCAGGAGGCAGGTTATCCAGTGGCCCAGGACCAAGCAAAGGTGCTGGTGGTTATACTGTAGCCCAGTTGGAGGCGCGGCATGTGAGTTACTGGCTTGACATGTACCGCGAGCCACCGAGTCCCTGCTCGGGGATTACCAAACCAGTTCTGAGCTCGTGTGCTCATTTGTGCCTTGAGATGTGGTGGATGTAAAGGCAAATGCTTGGACCCAGGACTTGAGAACAGCTTCAGAAGCTTCATGTTGTCCAGTGGTAGTAGAAGAAACTATTAAAAGTCATTTACTAGGTGTCTTTGGCAGCTCAGGTTTGGTTTTACCATGTGAGTCTCTTGTGTATTTTCAGTACCTTCAGTTAAAAGGATCCTCCTCTCCTGTAGGAACCAACTTGGTCACACTGGTATGTGGTCTGCTGGTGCACAACTTTGACTGCTTTCTCATGTGATTCAGCTATTGTTAAAATAAGGCTCTCATTCCTCTGCAGATAAGCAGGTTTAACTTGTCTGTTAAGGATCCTGTCTCCTTTTTTTTTTTACCTTTTCTGTTTTGAACTGGGTATTATCCATACACCTGTTTAACTGAAAGAATGTATGTCAGACCAGTGCCAAATCTTTTGCAGCATAAGGAATTAAGGCTGTAAAGTGGAGTTTATTATGTTGTGCGAAGAAAGCCAAAGGACGAGGTGTGGAAAGCTCTCCCAGCTGTCTCCCTTGACACTGGGGAAAGCTTTCCTGTGCCACAGTAACTTTGCTTTGCTTCTGGTGCTGCCCCAGTCTGGTGAAGCTCTGCCACACACCAGTCCTACTGCCGTCATATCTGCTTTCTACTGCTCTTTCTGAGATCCCAGGCTGTGCAAGAGCTGGAGAGGAGCCTATTTCCAGCTCAGACTGATTGTATTTAATTTTTTTTTCTTTTCTTTCCTCATGAAGAAAATAAACATAATATAACTAATCTGTAGGATTTACAGATGGGGGTTCAGCCAACCCTGA